CCAACTCATATAATAAATACCAGATTAAACAGTCCATCCTCTCAGAAGTTCACTCCCATCAGCCCTCACACGTCATTTCCCTAACCACACGACCACTGTGTGCTTATATCGGTTTGCACCACATCACTTATACTTTATTATCATATGGTAGCAAGCCCAAATTTTGGACGCTGGTCCACTAAGTAGAAATCCGTCCCTATTCTCTTCCATATAATCACTTGTTGTCATCCCTCTAATCGTGGTAGACATCAAGTCTTTCCATGTATATTATTGCAGATTATCCAGTTTGATGTCTCCTCAAACACACACTATGCTCTTTTAAAATCATCCCATTCTCTCATATTCCCAATCGTTTAACTTCGGCAATACCCGGTTTAGAAGACCTGGCTGGCTGTCATCCATTCCCCCTGGCCTTGGACTTCATCAGCAGAACCTCCAAACGGACCGAAAATCCTATGATCTTTTATCGACTTCGCTCTACCTTTTTGTCCTTGACCAGCCTGGAAAGAATTCCGCTACTCAAAGAATCACACATCCCAGCCCAGTCACCTTAAGTGTAACATCCGTTACGGGGCTGTTAAAAAACCGAAGTATGTCAGGCCACTGATGGCACGGCACTGCCACACTCAGCTGAACAGCGCACCCGCAACTATTCCCTTCCTTCTCCCGACCATGCCCTCTCACCCACTCGCTCCATTAACTGCAAATACGAACAAGCTTCCAACCTGACCCCAAATGCCTCTGTGCATGTTCATTCCAAACTTCTGAACATTTCGTTCGAATTCGACCCTTTCTGTGGGTCTTTTTATACAGTTCGTGTTCTGGCTTGATTGTTGCCATCATCACTCTTCAACAAAGCTAATATGCCCGACTACCTAGCAGCGGCACCAATAAGTCCTTACAGTTTCACTGTATTTTTTAATGTTAACACTTCTCTTGTCATGTGTCTCGCAGGAAATCTCTTGTTTTGCCCTCCTCCGCTTTGTTTCTTGCCCGCCGCCTTCAACTCCTAACGATTCGACCATGCTTGATATTCCATCAAAAAACGCATAATAGCTGCGCTTCCCTGTCCGTGCAGGTCTTGTGTTGACCACGCTCACATCGGATACTGCCCAATGCAATCGACGCTGACACATTTCCTAAACACCCCGTATTCACAATAGCCGCCGGTTTTGCTTTTATTCTGATCGTAACATTATGCTTATGCCTAACGGCGTGCTACCCACAAGTTGGTGATGAGCACTATTATTACCACCTATGTAAGATCCGGCGGTTATGGATCTCACAGGACGATTGCGGCCATTAGATTACTAGCAGTTCGTAGACAGTGGCCAGTAGGAGCATTCAGACGTGGGCAGCAGATGATATATTGAGGACTGGTTCTACGGACAATCGGATTAGTAATCATCATGAATTAGGCAAACGTACAATCTATAGTGAAGCAATCAACAGGAGCGGAAAGTAGCCACTGATGCAGCAGGGATTTCTGGAAGCAACAATATTTTTTCGGGTGTTTAACAAACAGTCGAAGGGGTAATGACTTCAAAGTCAAGCGCCGATAAGAATTGGGGGAGGGCAGCGTTTCGGCCTGCTTCGAGCCGCGCGATTCTTCAGTTATATACTACATACATACATACATACATACATACATACATACATACATACATACATACATACATACATACATACATACATACATACATACATACATACATATAGGGGTAGTCTGGCAGAGTGAGTTGGCCGTATAGAGAGATAACGGCGCAGAAAGCAGCACGCTCGGGAAGTGAGCGACTGTGTTTCGGTGGGGAGGGCGAATCGGCAGCACGTGTGGCTTGACAAGTCAGATTGTGCGGTTTTGTCTGTTTAAAACGAATCCCGCCAAAGGCTTAGAGCAGGTGCGGTACATGGGTAACAGAAGATAATAAGCCGCCCCGGGCGTCAGGCTGGTTTAGTGGACTCGCCTGCCGTTCGGGAGCTCCGGGTTCGACAAAAGCTCGATCCAATTTTTCGTCGGAGTGGACGATCGAAAAGAGGTACAACTGAGTTGAACTTGCAAGCAATGACGGACATACGGACATCAGTTACTGAAGAATAAGCAGCCCTTGAGTAGGAACAAAACGAGGTAAACGAGTAGCAACAAAACATACCACATCATATTAAACTGGCGTAATTTGTTACTCATGAATAATCAGAAAAGAAGGAAAATTACCGCAGTTAACCGTTGATTCGCAGGGGTATCAACAACTAAAAAGACCGCCTCCTTTTGGGTGAAAACTCCCAATAAAATCCAATTTTTTCTGTCGTTTATTTTGAACCGTTTGACTTTTAAGGATCGGGCTGAATGAGCGCGTCAAGATCGCTATGTTAGAAACGGCTGGTGTCGTGAGCAAAGGGGGGAAAAGCTGTGTATTATCTGGCTGACGGTGTGTGCTTGGGGTAATGCAACCCAAAATGAGACGCCTTGCACACCTTACAACCGGCGTTGGACGTGAACCTCCGTGCATGTTTAAAATCAAACCGAAGTAAGCTTGTTATTCGCTAGTATCTCTTGGTGTTGCCAGACAAAGTTCAACCGAGACAGCTCCAAACCAGCTATAAAGAAACAACAGCGGTATTCTTTTATGTACTTCGGAAGTTAAGGGACAGACTCACAACTACCACCGACGGGCGATGCACTCGTGCAACTGGAGAAGTAACAAGTATACAACCGCGCTATGATGCACCCTAACGGGGCACCTGTCCAGCAAACCAAACAACCCCATGCATGCCACCAGATCTGCCAGTTGACAGGCTACTAAATAATAACGCCAGCTACCGGTTATCTCATCCGATTGAGGGGCACCAGTCCAGTAAAACAGGTCAGACATTTCAGGCAAGCGAGCAGCAAACAGCCACCGGGAGTGGCAGGTTGCCGAGGCCAATGAAAACGTCACAGGTCATGGGACCATGCCTCGGTTGGCATGTTCCTTTCAAGTTAGAGAATGAATATATATAAATGTATATATATATATAAAAATACGTAACATATATATTGGATATATATATATATATGACATGATAATAAATAGAATATTAATTTGGTGTAATGGATAGTTTCAGAGCCCGTGTACTTTGCTATACGACGATAAAGCATTGGTGTGAGCCGTCACTTCAAGTAGAGCTGCACATAGTGATATGTATATGTGAACGACTGAACCATGGAACCGAAAAAGTATTTCATTCATTGCGCATATTCACACCCACTATTAGATGTTCGTGCGCTGTGCGTGAACAGAGGATGCGGAAGATTGGGCAATAAGGATACGGTTTGTTAGGGTTAGTTAAACCTAGGCAAAGCAAAGCACCAAACATCAACTAAGGTTGTCAGAGTTATTCCGAGAAAGGATCCAGGCTAAAAGAACAAGGACTATGTTGTGTGGGCACAGAAGCTTAAGGCCAAAGGTAGGGATATAAAATGTGGTCAGTTGAGACGGGCATTAAAACATGCGATGGAATGTGCTAAACAATCTCTGAAACACACAAACGCTTCAAGGAGTAAGTGTAGATGTAGTCCCAGGAAGTGTGCACGTAATATGATTAACAGAAAACCTGCACTGCAGCACTATTCAGATGAGCCGTGTGATGGAATACGTGGTACCATTAGCAGTATGACCAAAATTCACACACGCTGTGTGGCACGTGAGAGTTTTGAGAGAGCTTTTTGAATATGGAAATAACACAGCACGATGTCAATAACAAGCACAATTCTGATAGTGTGTATGTATACCGTTGAGGTGTCCACAATGGGCACTATTCATATAGTCATAGGAGACCGGACAACCGGTAAACGTACATTCTGGATGGTGGAGGCCTACTAACTACGCGAAATACATAGGCGCTCTGAAAATACATTCCCAAACTGGTTCGTCGCGTGAGTTCTGCGGACATCCCCTAAATCCGGGAAACGCAAGAGCAAGATTGTCTGCCGCTATCTGGCGAAGCATATGTGGGTTTATTTCCCTCCTGTGCTGCAAAACATTTGCCCCGCAGGATTTAGGAAACTTCGCGGGACCCATGGCATATCGTCTGTTACAATAACACCAAACAATCCGTCAATTTTTTAACAGAGCTAGTCGACAATTGTGGTGTAAATCTTAAATGACCTGAGTTTTAAGGCCCTGACCGCCTTCATCGGCTACAAACTGTCACACTACACATGACGGCGCTTCGCATTTCAGCAGGGCCATGTAGGTACCCGGCTACTCTTCTGACCTGTCGGTGTACAGGCAATCGGTGGTTGTGATCAAGACGATAAAAGATTACTGATATATGGTGTCCATTACTTGGCGAGCTTCATCATCATGCTCATCATCAAGGAACGCACCGGGCACACTAGCTCCTTCTGCTTCTTCGACATTTGCATGGTTTCAGGCGTTCTGTACTGATTCTTCGGTGCACCCACTATTAGCGCAAGGCAGCGCCAGACTGTTCTACCCGTTGGCAGAACAAACGCTTGATAGGTATCCCTCACACATATATTCGACGCTTTCCCGAATGCCTTTAGGGATGAAAATCGGACACACACCAATTCCTCGGCAAAATTATTTGAAATGAGGTCACGTCGTTTCAACCTTAAAATTTTATTAACACCAAAAGTTAGGAAAGGGAGAAGATTAATTAAGACGAATTTAAAAAATAAAGCAGATTGTAGTGGTTTCTGGTTTGTGCACACACAGGAAGAAACTCAAATTCATAAATAAAAGGCTCCATTTTGGAATATGACGCGCTGCACATGTCGAATTAATATAGACTCTACTCTACCTAATTTTAACAGTGTTCTCTTTGGAGTTCATTCACGATCTTGCCAGCTTCATTGAGGTCCGACGTTCAACTTACCACTGTCATCAGCTGAAGAAATCCCTCAGAAATTCTAAACGTAGGGGAGGCCAATGCTCATCTTATGTCTTCAAGAAACCCCTGAAACCTGTAAATCAATGTTGTGAACTGAACCGATCTGAATGAGTGACTGAACCTCTCGGTAATAAAAGCGGATTTTCAAAATTGCCGTAACCCCGGGGAACACGCGAACTCTCCGTTGCGGTGTATGACGTTGTAGACATCTAGACGCCATCTTGATATTTAGCCGCTCAGCTGCACAGCACGCTGTGCCGATATAAAGCTGAAAGATGGCTGCAAAGGGGAGTTGGTATCCATGTTACACGTTCTTACTTTTGTTGTTTGTTCACTGTGTCATCCTCAACCAAATGTTCTGGAAATCCTTTCTCAAATCGTATGCGGTCTATCTGCTTTTCGGTGGTTGGCGTTTCCAACGCGTCCTGCTATTCACTTGGCGACGAGACTTGAGGTGAGTGATTGCGTTCCTGTTCCATCTCAACTGATGAGGCAGCTGGTCTGACGTCAATATTTTTGATGCACAACTTTTTGCATGTTGAGATAAAAGGACAGGGCGTTTGTAAAAAATAGTTTTGAACTCCGAGCTGTTTTCCTCTTTGCATACAATGGCTCACGATGACTTCGGCGTAAGTCTTCGAGACTGTGTGCCACAGACTGATTATTCGTCTCGCAAAATCCTGAGTCATTTGATCTAGGGGAACATTCCCGCCACTGAATCTGGTTGCCGGTCACGCAATGTCCTCCAATCCGAGGACCGAACCGAACTCACAGTGGTCTCTGTGAGCTCCCTCATGCCTTTACGCTTGGTCAATGATTAATAGCGAACCTTCTTCAATTATCGCCGGCGCGGGAAAGCATGGAACAAGACGAGGATAATCAGAAAGGTATTCGGATTTTCCTTGAGCCATTAGAGTTCCGTGGATGGCACCTAATAACGAAATTCGTCGTTGCTGACCTGTTGTTCCCACCCCACACTAGCTAAGCAGTGGTTATAAAAAACGGCTAGTCCGGTATCGACCCAACCCCGCATATCCAGCTTTTATGAGATAGCTGGATGTTGTGTTGACGGAAAAATATCGTCAACCAGGAAATCCCTGATGCAACTATAATATGTGATACGACCCCCCGATGAGCAAACCTGCGGGGCGAGATTGTCCGAGCGGTTAGAGCACGAATTTACTGACCGGAATGTCCCTCGTTCGAATCCTGCCTCTCGACTTCCCCTGTCTAGGCATGGGCAACCTCGAATTATCCCAGCCTTCGTGCTTCCATCGGGTGGCCTGGCAGCTAGGCACCGGAAGGCTGCTACAGCTATGCGTTTCGTTTTCGTTTTTGAGGAAACCTTCTGGCCACCTTTAACTCCTTACCTCTGCAGCGCGAATGCAGGTGTGAGTCTTGAAGGAAAATCTTCGGCTTGTAAATTGACATACCTTACTACCTCATGTGCCACTCTGTCAGAGACTGTTTATACTGTTTGATACCATACAGCCCCACCGCATTGCGTTACACACGACAAACTGTGGGGCAACTTACCACTATCCTTGCTCATGCTTTCGATGTGTAAGGTTTTCAAAAGTAAAACAGCTTTCGAATACTCCGGAATCAACAAGGCAGCCGCACTCACTGAGTGAAACAGAATCATTCAACTGTGACAATTTCACTTCATACCTGCTACACAGGCCTAAAAGATCATGGGATGCGAGATGACGCAGTTGTACCCAACCCTGAAAGGTGTGGTTGAATGGCCTGAATGGGTCCGAATAGCGAACATTCTAGTGACCACTTTTGAGCCTAAACTGGTAAGATATCTTGAGCTCATTCCTTGATTTGATGGCTGTTCTGTTATCCAAATGTGCCATGGTTGTAGGACTGTGGTAAGTGTGTTGGTGTTGCAGCTTCTGGTATAATTTTAAGGTTTGAACCACGCCACTGCAATCCCACTAACTTACCTGACTAACGTTCCAAGAACATGCTGTCTTGAATAATTAAGGTGATGGTCATCAAGACAACGAGAAGCAAACCCATGTTTCCGTAACTACCGCATACCCCATATATGATGATAAGTGATTCGGCGCATCGAATGAAGATCGTTTCGTGCAGAAATGAGACAGGTCTAGGTATAGAGTGCTTGGAACTGGTGAGTTATGGCGTGTTCCACTTCGTCACTTTTAAGTTTTCTTCCATGGGCGTACCGTGTGGAGTTTTCAAGAATACTACCAGGTGAACTAGTTGGAAGTCCTGTCACTGGAGTTCAGTTGAACGGCATATGGAAGTGTTCAATTAATCATCTCAGGCATTTCTGTGAGTTTTAATTTTGGAGAGGACTCGTCCGACAAATTGTTTCACTAACACTTAGCCACTAAATGCCGTAGGGGAGACGAGGTGGAATAGCGTGTGTTATCTTCCGGAGATAAGCGTTCATTCCGCCATGATCCACCCTCTGGCCGAAGACTCTTCGTAAGCTCACGCGCCGACGAAATGTGCACCGAATTCTGTCCAGTAACCGGCGTAATCAACCGTTGGGAACCAAAGTTTATAATGGACATACTGAGATCAACTCAACAAGTTGTTGAGTTGCATAACAGGTATTGAGATCAGCTGACATCAAAACACCTTCGCATACACTCAGGACCATTCGGCCGATTGATAGATGTAACCTCCGGTTGCTTGTAATAAAATTTGCGAGTGCCTAATCGTACGGTCCTAGTTATGTTGTTCTTGTCGGGATGATGTACAAAGCGATCACCTCACGGAATCCGGATAAGCGTACTGTTGAGTGCAACTGCCTTGAATGCTATCTCGTCATCTTGCAGCAAGGTGGTCGACTTGAGTTCACGGTTGAGTCAGCGTTAGATACCTTGACGCATCTTCTAGATCCAAGCCCGGCGGTGTATCTGCGCTGTTTGAACTCCTGGACCAAACTGATGCACTCGGTTACCTTCATTCGATGAGGGGCCACCAAACTCCAGCTAGCACGGTAGTATCCATTCGTGGAAAGTTGTGTAGCAGGTGGTGTTGGTTGTGATATTTTTGGAATTCAGTTGATATTTTGTCCTGCATGTGAAGTTTGTTTATGCTGAGAAGCACTGTATAGTTCTCCAGTTTGTATTATGAATCGTCAGGGTGCGCGTCCAACACCACCAGGATGATTCGAACCTATCAAGTAGCTCAGAAGAAAAAAATTATTCACACGGTGTTTGAATCTTCCTTCCAGGAATTTGTCGCTTATGGAGCCACTCAGCACGTGACCACGTATCGTGAATTTTGTGATTAAAGGAAGATTGGCGCTATATTTTGTCTGGGCATGACTTAAACACTCGCTCGTTGTCAAGCAGTTTAGTTTTCAACTGCCAACCAGGAGGTCGCGGGTTCGAGCCCCTTGGAGATTAATGAGATGCTGACTGATTAAGATTCCTAATAAGGATGAAACAGCTGTTTAACGTTTCTTGTCTTTTCAGTATAAATTGGCTTCACTTACAGTGCGAACTCTGTGTTGGGAGCCACTGTGTGGGTCTGCCACAGTGCTTGTGCGTGATACTATGACCTATATACCCTGGTTCGGATGTTTTCTGGTCCCCAGAAGTGAAGGGGTTAATGGTGCAACCAACCCCGAGCCGTTAATTTCCGGCTGTTGTGGTGGGGGTGTCCCACATTGTTAAAATGATGTTGTCCAGTCGCTACATGCGGGGCGAGATGGCTCAGTGGTTAGAGTTCGAATTTACTAACCGTATGATGCGTGGTTCCTACCCTACCTCTGCCTCTCGACTTCCCCTGTCTAGGCTTGGGCGACCTTGCGGTATCCCAGCCCTCATGCTTTCTTCTGGTGGCCCGGCAGATAAGCACTGAAAGGGTGCTAGAGCTGGACCATCTATATTTGCTTTTTATTTCAAAGTTAATGACACACTGCTCATCTGTCTTCCTTCGCAAAGACACTGCAACTCACCGTAGTACAATGGTGTGCGTATATCTCAGCAACCAAGTGAGCTATGCTGGAGGAATCCCATTAAATTTCTTGGTAAACCAGAGGCGGAATTCCCGTTTAGCAGAGCTCGAGATGACTCAGCAGTTAAACTGCGAACTTACTGACCTGAAGGTTCTCGATTTAAGCCCAGCCCTGATATCTGGACCGCTACTGTCCATGTTGGCGCATCTTGGCAGTATCTCAACCCTCATGCTTCCTTCATGTGGCAGTCAGCTAGGCTCCGGAGGCGTATTACAGCTGGACTATTATTTTTAGTTCTTATTATTCCCATTTAGCACCCGAAGAGTTTTTTGAGCCATGAATTAAGAAGGCATCTCGAAACGTACTATGTTGCGCTTTACAGGCCGCCTCTTCGGAAGACAGTCGTACCTGGGAGGAGATAACAGCCACTATACCCTGTGCTGGAAATCCAGCATGTGCTAATTGTGAGTACTCCGTACTAACAGCTGGGTCTCAGAACGGGACTAATCAACCATCATACTTCTCTCAAGAAAAGAAGAGAGTAATAAGCTCTGTTATTCGAATCCAGTACACTACCGTATACAATTACCCAGTGCCCTACACTGCATTATTATTTCAGGTAAGGGAGCGAATTTGTTTGGTTGAATACGATTTTTGATTTCGTACACTTCTCGCCTCCGACCCCTACGTTCAACGTCAGGCGCTGAACTCAAACGACTAGTCAACTAAAAGTGACATAGTTTGAGGATAAACGAAAGTGTTACAGCTGAACGACTTTTTTTTACTCTTTTTTACTTGTCGACGTGTTGAGAACGTGAGTCTGGAAATGTCCCATCCTGCCACATGGAAAATGATCCTTACTTGAATAATGGAATTTCCGAGAGCTACGCACCGAGACCACACTATGATCAAGTGATCTGGTTCGATTCTATTAAGATCTCCTCCATCCTCTCGGACACGAGACTCAGTTCAGTGATGTTTTCACCAATATCGTAGGCACCCTTCTCTTGTATGCTTCAGTAGTGTATCGATATATAGGTTCCCCTGCTCTCAACTCATTCCTTCTTTTCTATTCGACTGTATATTCCACAGGGGACTGAAATGTTATCTCATGATTCTCTACCACACCTACTGGAACTACTATACGAAAGAAACATTTGCCCAATTGTTCGCTCGTACAGTACGACGACGTGGGCGCGACCGCGTTGCCATCTACTTTGAAGATCAAGCCTGGACATTCGGACAGTTAGATGACTATTCGAATAAAGTGGCTAATCACTTACTCCAATGCGGATTCAAACGAGGTGATAAGTTGTTTCTCCTGATGCATTCGTCTGCGGCCTACATTGGAATATGGTTGGGTGCAGCCAAGGTGGGTTATACGCTGCTCCGTCAAACTTCGATTTACTCGCTTTGTTTGTTAGGAGATTTCATGCTCTTCATCTTTTCATGGACGGCTATTACCCATGCGTTTGTTGGATGTTCCCTTCGACTTTACCCTCTGCCCTCAACACTCCCACGTTGTCGGTTGATTATAGCCGTATTTCGGTTGGCCATTCCACTCCGCGCAAAACAGCCCCTTCCATTTCCTTATTCTACACCCTGGTCACTGATCGCAGAGTGGGGTGTTCTGGACGTGTTTTCAACTATATTTTTGCTTAAATGGGTGAAAGACAGAACCTCCAAACAGTGGGCTTGTCTTGCTCCCAATAGCTTCGAATCCTTTCGACACACAAGTTAACTGACTGAGGGTGGTCAGGATTACATCCCTGGCGAAGGTCAATGGCAAGCAGCTGGTGAGAGATTGAGCGCTTTAAGTTGATTTTCTAATCCAATGATTATGATTGCGGTTCTGTTCAACATATTCCCTGACAGTATGCGAAGGTCTGCTGACGCGAACTGTGTGTTTGAGGGTTTGAAGAACGCGGTTTTATGTTTTAGTGTGGTTGAATCTCACTGCTTTTCATCCACTCATTACTGGTCGACAGTGTTTACCTGCCTATCAGGAAGGCTGCCAGCTCGGATGGAACAGTTGACTACCGTTCGGGGTTGCCCCGAGAGAGTAGCCTTACCAGTAGGCAGGAAACCATGTGTGCGTTGACCACAAAATTTGTTGTGCTAATGGCCTCGTTTTGACAGTGCCAACTCATGGCAGTTGCGCAATCACAAAACTCTCATACTTGTTAAATTAACTACTTTTGTCGTAAAACATCTCCATTCATTGGTTGTTGATCAGGTAGCTGTTAATCGTTTCACCGAGCTTGACAATTGACTTGCAAACGTTTCGTCACCATAGAGGAGACAACATCAGTGCGCAGTTGTGTGGGTAGTTCTTTGCCATTTGAGGACTATCTGTTATCATGTCACAAACGGAACGATAAATTCACGAAAACACGGTTCCCCAAATAGCCAATCACGTTGAAAGATAACAGATGATCTCCAAACGCTATATGAACCCACACAGGCAAAGATGAAGTACCGGTCCAATTGCGCTCTGATGATGTCTCCTCGTGTGGTGACGAAACGCTTGTAACCCAACTATCAGACTCGGTGAACAGATCAACAGTCCACTGGGCTTTAGGCACCACAGATTCTGTCATTTTCCTCTCCGAGGTGAAAAATAGTGCTGAAAATGAAGTTGTATCCAGAAAAAACCGTCTGTAGTTCTAATAGATTCACACTGTTGCCTAATTCCTTGGGAAACACATTCCTTGTTGCCCTAAAATACAATTGTTCTCATGTGCTTTTCAAGTTGTTAGGCCTTCTTCAGGACATAGACAATCGTTCGTTCCCGTCCATCGATCGGCGATCGTTTTTAAGTTTAATGTGATTTAATCCGCTCGATACTATTTGTCAATAGGGACGAGTTTTCTCTCATTTCTATCGACGGTTTATGCGTGACCTAGCCACTGTTGCTCCTGGTTAACAAATTCCTGTGCCGGTGTGTTAAATGATTTGGAGGCAAACATCTCGAATGAGGACCACGATGTTTCTGCATCGGTTTCTACTGAATGCACAGCAGCGGTTCCTGTCCTTGTTCTTGTTGCATTTGTCCTGTAGCCATGTTGATCTCCAGCAAGTCACGTTTTAAGATGTGGTCATTCCTATGCGTAGTGACCAACTGAAGGTACACACCAACCTGGGTGTGAGATGGCCCCAGTGGTTAGAGCGCAATTTACTGACCGGAAGATCCGTGGTTCGGACGCGACCTCCGCTTCTCGATTTTCCTTGTCCAGGCTTGGGTAGCTTGGCAGTATCTCAGCCCTCGTTTAACTTTCGGGTGGCATGGCAGTTAGGCACCGAAGGGGTGCTACAGCTGAACGAACAACCCACCAACCTGTTCTAAGGTTCGGTCAACAGGAGAATATAACTGCAATTCAGGTGTGTTTTTTTTTGACACAACACTTGGTTGCTCTTTTGAGTCCTCTCAGAAGAAACAAACCAACCTTACATCAATCGCTTTTCACCTCCATCTTTATCCTTGGGTCATGAAAGCCAGATCACAGACAAAACATCATACTCTTGCCCGCTGACAACAGTCTGATTTTTTTGTCAGCGATGGAAACGAAGCTCACGCGGACCTTGATAATAGTCAGCCACCAACCCCAGTGCTCGCCGTCTCGTAGGTAGCCACGCCAGAGGCAAACCTTTCACACTCACCACCCTTTTTTATTCAGTCACAGAGCAGATAGCATTTTGGTTTCTTTCAAGGACTTCGTCCGATGGGAAATGAGTCGACGTGTACATCTGGTGACCAAGTGATTGCCGACCACGCCTCGCTCCACTTTCTCTTCTGTTGGTTAAAAGGGCCATAAGTTCTGCTCCTGGGAGCAATGATACGCTGCAAAACAGCCATCATTGTCGGTCGGTTGACTCTTTAAATCCCCATGAACAGCTTAGTTGTTTATCTGGTCGCCGAGCCTGGCAGTTGTTGTACAAACGTGCCGTCACCATATGGGGAGACATCTTCTGTACGTGGTTGAGTGGGTATTTCTTCCACTGTATTCCAACTGGTTGGCGTGGTACATACTTGAACGTCATCTTTCGCTTTGCACCCACAGTCGATACCGCTTCAGGCATCATAACTCCTAACCTTTACCTGCGCCGGAGGGCGTGCTCAATTAGTGGATGCAGTGGCATGCCGCCTATGAACAGCCTGAAAGAAGCCATACGTTTGCGTTATTTTTATGTCGCCACATAAGGAAATGCAAGGTCTGACACGTTCATGCTATGAATACATAGTCTTTGAATACTGTACTGCGCTTCAGCACTCTCTCCAAATGAGAATGAAGCTCCTTCCCATTGACACTGGACCGTCCCCCCAAAACAGGACGCGCGTTCCACAAGGTCTTGATAAAATGAAAGGCCTTGAAAACCCGTTCGTACAAGCACACGCAATAAACCCTAGTTTTTTAAAACCCATGGGGAACAAAAGCAAGTAAACGCCAAAAAAACAAGAATGCATGATCCGCTATCCATGGACCCAAACAAAGAACAGTTGACTCACATCTCGCAAACTCAACCGCGACCAACGGCCACACCCAAAAGGATGCGCGTGACTGGTTAAACATAAGGTTGAGACACGTATGAACAGCGAAAATGATAGATTGGAGTTATCCCAATATCAAGTGGTTCTAGCTGCCACAGTTTCGTTCGCTGATGATTTGGGGAGGTGAGGTAGGTAGCTACGCATTGGAGGTGTTAGCTGATGTAGCTGAAGCGTAAATACAGGGGTATCAGTTCAGTTTTCGTTGGGGAAATCAGGAGGCGAGCTATGCATTGAAGACAACAGCTCGGATGCATGAACGTCGCTAGGCTGTGCTTGACAATGTCTCCAACCATTGATATGTCCCGTCTCGACGTCTTCATTCAGGAAGATGATAATGACCGGCACAGCTGAGTTCGCCGGTTATGGCTTTCAAACTTCGCTGCCAAGTCATTGTTTGACCTTCCTTGGGTTCGTTCCCACCCTTCGTGGCGTTGTGCGAAAACGTTCCTCTGAGAAAGTTGGTCAACTAGCATGCAAACAAGTAGCCGACTGCCACTGCTCCCACTGGCTAAGTTCTCTCAAGCTTATTTTTTGGGTGAGCAAAGAACTGATGGGTACATGTGCTAGTGGTACAAATCCTCATCCTGTAAACGCAGATCATGCTGCCTGACTATCGAGAGCGCAATTTCTGCACTAAGCGTTGCTTGCGAAACCTCAACTGGGCTAGAAACGTCGCAGTGCTGTTCAGTCGACGACATAGTCACGAGCTATGGACGATATGACCGCATCACATGCACCAGATATTGGGCTAAGCCACACCCTCGTCGATAACTGGAAACCGTTTTTCAGATATGGCAAAGTGTCAAGCCAGCGTCTATACGTAATCTAGTCCTCTCACCTTGGCCCCTAGGTCCTTCCACAGACCATATACTGAACCGGGGTTACCTCACAGTTGCGTTATTTAATCAGTTGGATTGGGTCGCTGCTTTGCTCAAACACAGGGTTGTGCTTGAAATTTCACGGCTCATTGTCGTTCCCCTTTCGAAAGGCCTGAACACTGGACTAGATTGAGGTTGGAGTCACACTTGACGCTTGTCTATCCCCCAACTTTATCGATCTTTTTCACCTAACTTAAGATTAACTATCTCCTGAGACAGGATTAGTCAGCTGCGAAAGTGTGTTAATTACACGCTGTCCGGACGTTGCTATCGGCTGCCAGATGGAGGCGAAATGGCTCAGTGGTTAGAGCGTGAATTTGCCGACCGGTACGTCCGTGGTTCGAACTCTGCCTGTCTACTTCCCCTGTGCTTCCTTCGGGTGGCATGACAGCTAGACACGGAAAGTATGCTGCAGCTGAACGTTTTTTATCAGCTACCAGACATTCCAGTGATGGATTCCGCAGAACACGTGGAGACCAAGATGTTTTACGACGTAAGGTTATCGACTGTCCTCCGAGGCGACAATGCCATTCTTGACGTGTTGAGCCGTAGCTTGCCCAGAAATTCCGACCTCGTTCTTGTACAACAGATGTTCAAATCTTTGATGACGTCGTCATTTGAATAGTTGTATTGTCATTACAGCGTTATCGGATAATCCTAGATTACGAATTCTCATTATGTGTTGTCGCAAGCACGGACGATAAACAACTTCCAATGTCTGAGTAGCTCTGACTAAGGAGACCATTTGCGCAGGCGCAAACTGAAACTGAACAGACAGCTGCGCTGAACTTCCGGATTTTTGTGTGTGATTTTGTCTGTTTCTCTCCATAGGATGATGTTCAGCTGCTTGAACGAACCTCGGGTGCTGTTGATACGTCGTTGAATTTCTTGTTTAATCCGCCACTCGCGTACAGTTTCGGAACCAAGTTATTTGGAGTCGGCACTCTGCCGGATTATTCCGTCCAGCACCAGAAGCATCGGTGCTGAACACTGTCGTGCTGTCGAAGATGATGCTGTCTCTCGTACTAAAAGGTTGCACATCCGTATGGGTGGAGAGGAAGTTGCTCTTCAGTGAATTGAATTTTTAAGCATACTTTGGAGTCCCCCCAGGTCCCAGCCTGTCCAATTGTCCCATAGAAACGTCTTTCTTGTGTAGTTTTCCACTACAAAT